AGCACCAGTTGTTGTGTGGAGAGTTACGTGTTCCGAGTGTTTTAATGGAAACGTAGAAAAGGTATTGTTACAAAAATCATATGTTTTACTGGGGACATATCTGGTGCATTCTTGAACAAAAGTAATAATCTTTTAATATTTTCTGGCAGTATGGTACCATGTCGCATTAGGGGCATATTGTGAATAGTCAAAGCAAATGAATGGATACAATGAGTTTTACAGCTCGCCTTCCAGAAGTGAAAGCAATGCATACACCAAGGAGTTGTGGGTAGCAAGAAAATGAGATTGTCCTGCTGATTGGATGCAGACAAGCAATGAGTAATTCAAGAGCTCACAGTCAAACAAACTGCTTGTGGCACTACTACTTGTACCCAATTACCAATTCAGAGAGAAAATAAAAAGCAGTTTCAGTAGAGTCAGGGTGGGAAATCTCCAATTAGCACCAATTAGTGAAGTTGCTTCCTACAGCGGAATTCTGGGGACATAAGAAAAAAAAAATAATCTCCCAGAATGCCTGGTTGGAGCATTTATTTACCAGGTGATGGGACTCCCGAAGAATAACTTGATGAGGATTTGCGCCTGTGGGACTTGAATACAGATACTACTTGGAACTTGCCTGCTCGATTTGACTGGTCAATCATAGGCTGTACTATTCTTCTTCTGGCATTAATAAACCTGCAACAGAATACAAAGAATAGAAGTCCTTTCATCAGCTTGCTTCTGTGTTTTGAGAACACCTCTGCTTTAAAACTGACAGGATTTTAGCGCGGGGCGGCGACGTGTTTTGCTTCGCGTTGCTTTCTTAAAAGAGTGTAATTTAACTTTAAAGGATTTTCCTCTAAGTGCTCAGAAATTGTAACTGGTAACACGCTTATCTTACTAGCCAGCTTAGAGCTGGATTTGCCAGAAGGCTTTGAACAAGTAAACGCGACCGAAAACTTGTGTTAAAAGACAATTGTTTCTTTAACTTCTTGGAGAGGCTCGGAACCTGGTTAAAGTTCACAGGCTGGGAGAGTTCCCCCCCACCACCCCAGCCCTTTCCATCCTAGGGATCCAGCTACCCTTGCAGCTGGCCATAAATGAGGACCAGGCTTTGCCACTCCATGCTTTCACAAGGTATCGTTAGGTCAGCAAAGCCATCAATTAGGCTGTCTGAAGTTTTATCACCAGCGCAGCAGCAATAAGTGCTGGCCCAGAAAGACTTCTGCTCTTCGGCAACTCCTGCAAAGGCGGGGGTCGTTTGGAGGTCAGTGCCAGCTGGGGGCCACCGCTGCGGCCGAGCGGGGACAGCCCGTGCAAGGCGACCGCCCGCCCGAAAGCCAGGCACCTTTCAACTCGCTAGAAACCTCCAGTCACAGGTACATGTGGTTAACATTAGGACCAAAATAACCTTTTCTTTTTTTTTTTTATCTCAAACCGGGGCGGTTGACGAGGCTTTTGAGTGCTGGTAAAGGCAGTTAGTTGGCTGCGGAGCCTGGATTTAATTTTGCTGGTAATCCAGAAATAAGTGCTTGCATATTTCTTATTAGCTTAATGCGCAGCGATCCACATCGGCACAAACTAAGTCAAATTAATTTCCCTAAAATAATTTTAAAACTTGCCTATTCACAGAGTTTCTTTCAAAACAGGGCAATTTTCCATCGCTCGGGAGCCACGCTTGTTTTTGTCCCCCCTCTTTGTGTTTGAGAACACTTTGGAGCCTTCGCGCAGGTTTTGTGTGCTATTTCACAGCTCAGGCTTTCGGCCGGTGACCCTTAGGGAGTGCTAATGAAGTCGAATACTAGTGTTTAATCCTCTTCAGAAATACTAACATGCCCATCATCCAAAACAGCCTCCAATAATTGCCATTGGGCCTGATCCAACGCCCAGCCAAGTCTTTCAGTCAGTTAACTGAAAACTAAGTTCATCTGCTCATTTAGTAAATTGCTAGCCTTTATATAGCATCAACTCTGCAAGGCCTTTTGTTGCGCTTCCCTCCCTCCCTCCCGCCCCACGGTTAAATTCCTCTGCAGATAATAAAAGACGGTGGCACACCTTCGATTGCATCTTCTGTAATCACAGTCGTGGAAATTTCATTAGACAGATGCATAAATGCTACAAGTAACACTAAAGGGCTCTTTTGCATCTCTCTGTTTACATCCAAAAGAAATTCTTTATTCTTTAGGAAAAGTATAATTCAGTTGTCAGAAATGTCATCCTGCCTCAGAATTAGTCATGACTTCAGGTATTAAAATAAAAACTCAAACACAGTCGATGTACTTGTTTATTCCCTTCTGACTGCGGCACAGCGAAGGCATCTCCTAACCCAGCGCTGTGTTTCCGTCCTCCAAGACAAAGGTCCCCGATAGGAGTTAATTTGCTGAGCTACTTTCCAGTAACCTTTCTGCGCTGACCAAATGGAGCCTGACCTGAACCTCCTCCATCCAGCACGCCTTTTATCAGCTGAAGTTAAGGCCAATAGAGATTAACAGGAAAGCCTGATAAGACTGTTTTCTCTTCTCCTATGAGCTTCTAATGGTGTATACAGATGGCAAGGTTTTAAAGAAAGGAATGAACGCTTATTTAGGCCTGTAAAAAATCACAGACAACAGAAACATCCCTCCCCCCCTCCCCCCGCACACACTTTCCGTCTTGCTAACCCCTTTCTTCAATCAGGCCACTCTTCAGGGAAACCAAATTGCTTTTTCGTTTTTTATTTAAACCCCAACCACTTTTATTATTTACATCTGGTGGTCCCCTTATTTATGTCCCTCTCCACTTCCCTGCACACACACCCTGGCTCACAGGGCTGCGAAGCATTATGGGCCTTGGCTCTCAGCGGGAGAACTCGACACTGTCTTCAAACAAATAATTAAGGGGAAGGTTAAAGGTTCACCCAGAGGTCATATCTTTGGATACTCCTCAGAAAGTTTACATTAGTAAGAAATGGGTGCCCTCTGAAGTGTTCTTTCAATGGGCTCACACAACAAGGCAGAGCATTAAGAAAATTTTAAGTCCTGAAGGGTTTCAGGTGACAACTGCTTTACCTCGGAGAGCAGCAGATAGGGATACTCTGCTCCAGCCTCACATACTCAACAGCCACCACAGAGTAAGCCTTTTGGGGCGGGTGTTGAGAACCCAATCTTGCCCAGCCATTCACTCCCAGAAGATCTTGGCCTTATTTTATTCCACAGATGTGAATAAAGCCAGCCTTCCACTGTATGCTCTGCACAGAGGCACTTCACTGGTTGTGCTGCAAATGAGAGTTAAAACCCACCAATCTTTACTTCCTGACCGGGAAAAAAAAAAAACAAAAACCCACAAACCCCACCCCCCCCCCAAAAAACAGTGATAAAAGTGATCACATTTGTCAAGCAAATCTTGCAAAAACCAGCACTTGGGTTTGACTTCTGAATTCATTATTTCTCCATTTTTCTTCTGCACATGTACATAATTGCAGGTGCAAATGATGTCCTTCAGACCAGCAATGCTTCGTCTGAAGACAAGACACACTGTCATATACTTAGACTGATGTAGGAGCACAGAGGCTTTAGGCATCCAGATCGCTTCAAAATTCCATTTCTATGGCTCTTCTGAAAAATCCTGTCCATAAACAGCATCAGTTATACCCACCAGTGGGTATGTCTGAAAAATTATGTATGTAATTATTTATATTTGCAAAATTGCAGGTTTAGACCAGACATATATTTCAGGTGAAGATAAAAATCAGATCCCAGTTTCATTACCAGTAGCTACATCACATCAGCACAACTGGTAGACAAGGGCACAGAACGCAGTGTTTATGGATTATTATTTATTCTTTATACTGCCCCATAAACATGCACAGTGCATAATAGAGACGTAGAAACCATAGTCCCTGCCCTAGACTTTACATTTTTGAGGGCTTTTACTGAATTCCTCAGGGAGCCATCTTCAGGGCCAAAATAAGGCATAATGCAGCCTTTTGCACAGCTCTTCAGCCCGTGCATTGCAGAAACATTGTGACGTTATTTTGGCACACGTCTTCAAAAGGCATTAAGAGACAGGTGAAAAAAGAGAACACCAATATTCCCAGCGTTATTTGGAACCCTATAAAAGAAGAATTCACAGCTCTGTTCCTGACACTAATTGCCTGCCTTGTTCATACCCTTCACCCAGAGGCCAAAGATTGAATGGCCTGAAAAGATGAGTAAAATCTATCAAGAAGACATGGATTTCTTTGTTACTCTTCTGTTAATAGTAATTCCCATGATTTGGTGATAGCAGCAGGTAGAGGACCCAATGAAGCTCAGTCTTACTCCACCCCATGCTGCACAAGCACACCGTCCAAGAGAACTCAGGTTCTGAACAGATTTCCAGGCAAAGCCTGGGGGAGAGGAGAGACGCCTTCTCCCTGTTTGCAAAGGGGAAGGAAGACAGAAGGAGATTAAGTGACAAGGCCAAAGTCATACAAGAGATCTTTGGCAGAGCCACACACCCAACATAGATTTCCTCAGTCCTCTCTCAGCGCTCCTACAATCTGCTATCCATATGCTATCTTTCCTTTGTTCCCCCAGCTTAGCAGTCAGGCAGGCTGGCAGGGGACTGCAAAGAGAGCTCACATTGCCACTGTTGGTGCCTTACCTGCTGTGTAAAGAAGGAGGGGTCATCAGCCTCCAGGGCTGTGAGGCGATACCTTCACAAACTCTACATTCATACGGTACGCGGTCCTCATTCCCGAATGATAAATGAGGTGTGTAATGTTGAGAAATACATGTCATTGACATAGCATGTTTAATGAAAATCCCACTTCCAGCATTTTCAAGTGACAGATTACCCACCTCGCTGATTCAAGCAATAGCCATTTGAATCAAAAGATTTTTTTTTAATCTGGTATTTTTCTTTAATTACTACTTAAAGCTGCCAGCTATATTTCCTATAGCCGGAGTCCTCTCACACAAGTGGTTCCGGTAACTTTCGCGGGACAATTTATGAAAACACAACAGAACAAGTTTTGGCTCAAAATGCACAACAATATGGACTTTTAAAAGAACGCATTTCATTTTTATTGGCTTCCAGCAAAAACCAGTAGAGCAGTAAAGGTGTACGAGTGAATATGCAATGTAGTCTGGTGATTTGGTAGCCCTAGTCCTAATTGGTTCCTACCATTGCTAATTAGCATGACAATGCAATCTAAATATATGCATTTAATTGCATCTTTTCAAACAGATCCTTGGTTTTCTTTGTCCAAAATAAACATGTCTTCTGTATTTTATAGAAAGTCCTGTAATTCATCTTCTTTATATATTTATCATATTTTATCTCAAGTCATATAAAATGACGTTAAACTCACATTTACATAACACATTTTACATTTATAATAAATAATGTTCAGATAAAATCGCAGAGAGGTATTTCTGCAAAGCGCGAAAGAGAATAAACAGCAGAGACGTCTTAGTCTGCTTGCTCAAGTCTGGCACATTCAAAAATAATTCTGTTGGTTTTTCCACTGTCTTTATCATACATCCTGTACATGTATTTCAAAACACTGTGACCGCTCCGTAACTGAATCCGAGTAAAATTAGTTCTTGAAAGGAACTGTTAGTGGCTGGACTGAAGGGTAATCAGAATTAGAAACATCTCCAGCTTTACTCTGGCCATCACACAAAATTCACTGTAAGTATGTAGGGTCACAGCAGGTCTTGTTTCAGGAGGATGAA